GGGGGGGGGACGTTGTCGGGCACCAAAAGACATGTGAATCATATACCCCAAGATGAATCATGTGCAGAGCATTTAGAAAAAAGAGAAAGGAAAAAAAACCCCCACGTTCGTTTTGAACAGCTGTGAGCGTCTTGAATGCAAAACCGATTCATTCACATGGGGCAAGTGATAAGCAAAAATCTCATGTGCTAGAAGAAGAGAAGCCAGCGTGATCCGGTGCACGTGAAGCACAGGGGCTTCGACAACACAATGCAACGACGGGTTCACACAGAAAAAATCCCCTAGCTGGCCGTTTTTTCGCAAAGTCGGGATAGAGGAGGATAACGGGCCGCGAGACGGGATATAGGGGGGGCCACGTGGCGCGCAACGAAGGGCCAGCTGATGCTTATCCCACCAACCTAGCAAAGAGGATGCGCACATCCGTCCGTCACAGCATCTTTCTTTTTTTTTTGTGATTCGGGATTTTTTTTTTCTCCCCATGACGCGGCTCTTTTATCTGGCCCTGGTGTTTTATGTGGTGCTGTGAATATACATACCAAACTGGTTGGAAGGAGGGGTGGTGGGCGAGAGGCGTGCGACTAGTGATGGCGCGTTCCTTCTTCTCTGGACGGACTCTGTGGTCGTCTGGTTGTGGCATGTACAGGTAGTCGAATGGCTTCGGAGCGTTGCACAGAGAGGTAAGCGTAAAAGTACGAACAGCGGCGGTTCTGTATTAGATGGACATGGTACTAAAAGTCACGATGCCACGGGTGCATGTTGCATGTTCTTCACAGCCTCTCACGTACGCCGGTTTTACTTTTTACCATTCAACAAGATGTGATTTCTGGTAAACGCCAAAATAGTAATTAGAACTAAAAAGATCGCTAGAAAATAGCTATGCGCTGTTACGAATGCTGACAATCATGACAAACTAAAAGCTCGTTATATCCACGGGCAGCGACAACGACCTCCGAGCCCCTTCACTCTCCCCCTCTTACGCATCTACCCTCTTGGCGCGGAATCCCACAAATGGGATGCCGCTACGTAGGCTCAAACTGCTCAGCACGACCGACAGGCTCGACAGCGCCATGGCCAGGCTCGCCCAGACGGGATCGAGCTTGACGTGCGCGCCGCCGCTCGTCTGCACCGCGTACAGGCAGCCCGCCGCAATCGGCAGCGCCACCATGTTGTACACGAGGGCCCAGACAAAGTTCATCTTGATGCGGCGAAAGACGACGCGGGAGAGGTCCAGCAGCGTGAGCACCGCCGTGAGCCGCGAGCTCGCCAACACAAAGTCGGCACTGGAAATCGCCACGTCGCTGCCCGAGCCAATGGCGATGCCAATGTCCGCCGTCGCCAGCGCCGGCGCGTCGTTGATGCCGTCTCCGACCATGGCCACCATGGCCCGGCCGCTGCCGGAGCCGCTGCCGGCGGTGGCTTGCAAGTACCGCACCCGGTCCGCCTTCTGAGAGGGCAGGACTTCGGCGAGGACGTGGTCGGCCGGGATGCCGACGAGGTGCGCGACGGCCCGCGCTGTGGTGAGGTTGTCGCCCGACAGCATCCAGACTTGGGTGCCGCGCTGCCGCAGCGCCTTGATGACGGGCACCGTCTCTTCGCGGATGGCATCGGAGATGGCGAGCATGGCGACGAGCTTCCAGACCGAGGCTTTCTGGATGGCGACGAGAGCAACAGACTTGGCTTCCCGCTTCCATGTGTTGAGCGTTGAGCGAGTTCGGTCCGAGATGCCCACGTCGAGGCCGCTCATGAGGGCCTCGTTTCCGACAGCGATGCTGAGCTCTGCTGATGTAAAGGCCGCCTTCATTCCATTTCCTGGTATCTCTTCAATGTTATCGAGGTCCGCCGACGAGCGCTCGGTGCCGCAAAATGCCACAATGGCCTTGGCGATGGGATGCGTGCTGTTCTGCTCAATAGCCTTGAGGCCCGATAGGATAGTGGCTTCCGGTACACCAATGCTGCCTTCAGGCAGCATCGCCGAGTCGGTGATCTGAGGCTCGCCGCCGACGGTAAGTGTGCCCGTCTTGTCAAAGACCACGCAGTTGATCCTGCTCGCCTTCTCAAAGGCCTCGCCGCCTCCCTTGACGAGGATGCCATTGTTAGCAGCGATGCCTCCGCCGACAAAGATGGCCGTCGGGGCAGCGAGCCCGAGTCCGCACGGGCAGGCCACGACAAACACGGCGATGGCAAACTGGAACGCAAAGGCAATACGCCCACTCAAGGTATCCGTTTCCTCGTTAGAGACCTTGCCTATCTGCACTAGGACCAGCCAGATGATCCAGGTAATAACTGCAATCAGAGTGACGACGGGAACAAAATAGGAAGTCAAGAGGTCCGCGATTTGCTCCACGGGCGCGCGCTTTGTCTGGCCTTCACGAACGACTTCGACGATTTGATCCAGCATGGACTTGCCAGACGTACCTGTGGCACAAATCGTAATGGCGGACCCCTTGTTGACAGTGCCAGTGAAGACTTGGTCACCTGGGCTCTTCTTGATCGGGCGAGATTCACCGGTGAGACTGGACTCGTCAAAGATGCTGTCACCGGTAAGAATAGTGCCATCTGCAGCAGGTGAAGCCCCATGGGGGACTCTGATGATATCACCCTGCTCTAGCTGGTCCAGAGGAATCACTGTCGTCGTGACGTTGCCTGCGTCCCCCTCAATAAGTAGTGCAGTGCTTGGACGCAACTTTGCCAGGGCCTCGACAGCACTTCCGGTTTTGGACTTGCTGTACGCTTCAATAAGTCGACCTGCAAGAAGAAACAGCGTCAGGAAAACGACAGAGTCAAAGTAGAAGCGGTCTGCCGGAACGTCCACGTCATGGTTGGCGGCAGCTGCAATCATTTGGGCAATGGACGAAAAATAGGCAATGCTGGTACCCAGAGAGATGAGCAGGTTCATGCTACCAAACTTGTAGAAGCGCTGCCCGAGAGATGTGCGGCTGCCGCTCTTCCACATGGTCCAGACCTCCTTCATAGCGCGCGTGTGGAAGATGTCGGCGCCGAAAAAGTACACCGGGGTAGAGAGCGCGAAGAGAATGATTTCCAGACGGCTGAGACCGGAAACCCATGGCTTCATGAGGAAATGTTTGGTGGGATTTGAGTCTGGCACCAGACTCATGTAGACAATGCCAAAGATGAAGGTTGGTACGGCAATGATGAGAGCCAAAATCATGCGCCAGAGTAAAGCACGCTGGTGCTTTGCGCGAATGGCCCTGGATCTCTCTTCCATAGTAGGGGGGTGGTAGATGGAGGCTTGTAGTGACGGGTCTGTGGCCTCGATGGCTTTGAGGATGTGTCGGATGGTAAAGGTAGGAGAATCCGGTGTGTAGCGGACTTTGAGGACAGGGCGGTTGAGAGTCGGCTTCTTAAGAACGTCGACCTGCCTAGTCCCGAAACTCTTCATGGTCGCGTAGATTCGGTCAGGGCATCGAGGGCAGAATATGCCGTCGATACTGATTTCAACATCGCGTGCGCCAGTTTCCTTGCTTTCTCGGCCCAGATCCTGCACCCTATCCAAAGCGGCGTCGTAGCCCAGGTCCTGGATGCCCTGCACAATGTCCTGGACGCGATCGGGCTCCGTGAAATCGACGACGGCACTGTTTGCGACGAGATTGACGACGACGCGGGAGATCCAGGGGAGCTTTTGCATCTCGTTGGTTATGGTGTTGGTGCAGACGGCGCACGTCATGCCGCCAACGGACACGGTCGCGCGCCAGGGACCGGCATACGCGCCATCTGAAGTGATGACGCCGTCAAGAGCGGCGGGAGCCCGCTGGACGGGGTGGACGGGGGCGGCGGACGCCTGCGCGGAAGGCGCAGGATGGTCTTGGCCGTTTCGGCACGCTTCGCAGTTCTCGAGATGGGCGGCGCGGGCTGCTTCCTGCGACGGCGTAGCTTTGGGCTTCCAGAGCCAAGAAAAGACGTCGAACCCGGTTCCCTTTTGAGGAGCGACGAGGTTGCCATCGCTGTGATCAATGGCCGTGACGATGTCCTCTGAGCCGTCGTGGGAGGAATCGACGGCGCAGACGTCGAAGCCAACATCTTGCAGCGTCTTGGCCATGTTCTGGACGATGCCGGGTATGGTGGCCAGGTGTTCGACCGTGACGACCGAGGTGACCAGGTTAGGGGACACCCATTTGATCTTATCGCCGTAGGTGTCGGCCAGAAGCCGG